TTAACGTCATTAACAAGGCTATCATGCAAAATGCACTTTCTGATGTATTTACTACATCACTATGTGTCCCCGGTGTGTCAGGAGACTCTCATAGTGATGTCTTCTCTACATCACCATGTGTCCCCGGTGTGTCAGGAGACTCTCATAGTGATGTCTTCTCTACATCACCATGTGTCCCCGGTGTGTCAGGAGACTCACAAAGTGATGTCTTCTCTACATCACTATGTGTCCCCGGTGTGTCAGGAGACTCTCATAGTGATGTCTTCTCTACATCACCATGTGTCCCCGGTGTGTCCCCGGTGTGTCAGGAGACTCTCAAAGTGTCAGGAAATAAACCCCTCTCTCTTTTCCTCCGTACCCACATCTCTAAAAACGGTAGGAGACCTTTAAACAAAACTGTGTCAATAAGAACCCCCACCACTCGACCATCAGTGACATTACTGAACTGTCCATCTCCTCACCTGCGGGGATCCACTTGTGGCAGCGGTCGCAGTGGAAGCTCGTCTCCTCGCAGCCCCCCCCCCTCCTCCAGCTCGCTGGTTAACGAGTCTCCGCTCTGGTCATGTGACAGGTCAACAGATCCCTGGTCCTCCGACTCCACGATAAGCAGCGTCTCCCCCTCCACCTCCCCCTCCTCCAGACCCTCATCCTCCCCCCCGCCCAGCAGCTCGCTGCTGCTGTCCATCACACCTGAGCAGGTAAACAGGAAGTCAAACGGTTAGTGTGGGGCTGACAGGTAGAATAGGAAGCCCACCAAAAGTGAAGAAGTCCATTTAGCCTTTGCCATCATTTCTTACACCACAGATTATATTTAGATTGAAATAAAAGCTCCTTCTGTAACTCAGATAAACATGAGAACATCTTTTCTGTTCCTGTTCTCCAGTACTGGTTCAGTGAGCGAAACCTGCTGCTCTTAACGTCTGATTATATCAAATTCTGAAAACTAAAACACTGAATTAGGAACACGTCTCTTCTTCAGAATCACTCCAGTATTTATGGTTTTTCTAAATGACATGATACTAAAAAACTAATAAATGTTGCAAAGGTAAAAAGCACAACAATTTCACAGATTTCTAAATATCTAAACTCTTGATCGACCTTCTGTGGGTTTTTTATGACCTTCTGTTTTTTGTTCATAATGCCCTCAGTTTGAATTCAGTTAATGAACTCTGATGCCCCTTTCATACCGGCGCTTTTTCAGCTCCAGCTTCGGCTCGGAGCTGGAGCTGAAAAGTACCGTTTTTTCCTGTTCACACCGCAGCGGCGCCGCCTCTTAGCTCCAGAATCCGGTTCACTTCCAGCTCCAAAAAATTGTCGGTCTAGAGGCAAGAGCTTCGGAGCTAAGAGGCGGCGTCGCTTACGTCTTTCTTACGTCGAGGCGTGCAGGAAACTAAACCCACCTCCCCTGAACATGGGTCGACTGAAGAGTCTCGTCATGCCTGCCTACAAGCAGTAGCGCTGAGCAAAGTGACTAGAAGGCAACCACACACTTATAAAAAACCACACTTTATAAAGTCAGGCAACACTAACCAGGCTTCGTGTGATTCTGTTTATTTGTACCTTACTTTGACCATCCGTTCGCTGTTATTGATCATTGTGGAGAGCAGGCAGACGTTTGTTATTATAGCAGCTATCGGATGGAATCAATACATGGGCTGCACAGGTTGTCATGTCCGACTATCACAAGTAGAATCATAATGAAAAATACGCCGGTAAAAAGTGCCTGTAGAAAACGGCTTAGCAAGTAGTCAGTTTAGCTTCGGTTGCTATGCTAACATCACCCATGTTATACCAGAGAAACTTTCATAACAGCGTTGTGATGCCAAACAGCGTCAATTCAGACTGACACACATTCACTTAAGGGGAACTGGGGATATGTATCAGCTGCTTGTGTGACAGTCAGACAGTGAATACTTTAGAGCCGTGTGAGCTAACCCGGAGCTAACGGGAGAATAAACTCCCGTTGAAGAGCAGCAGCACTGCAGCGGTCGCTAAATGAAACACATTAATAAACAATGAACCACGGCACTCTGGAGAAAAGTATAAGGTTGGAGAAGTCGTTATTTAATTTAATCTGGCTTCGTATGATTAAAAGCAACACGATCATCGACCCGACGCAGTCCCCCGTTGTTGTTGTGAGGTGAGCTCCGTTGGGGAGAAAATCAGCGACGTAAACTGTGACGTCATGACGCAGCAGCGGCAGCTCTGGGCGGTGTGAACAGAGCGGGAGCTGAAAAGGGAAACCGGAGCTGAACCAGAAAAGCTCTCGCTAGGAGCTAGAAAGGGAAAAGCGCTGGTGTGAAAGCCGCATGATTGATGTGATGTGTCTTTTTCTGACGTGTTGAACAAATAAAATAAACAATAGTTAAGAACAATTGCGTTAAACCGGGGTCTCCAACCTTTCTTCATCTGAGAGCTACTTGCATCACATCGCTCATTCACATAGCACTCATCAGTTGAATTAAGCTATACTTTTGTACACGTGTGAAATTGCAATACCTAAAGCTTCTCAAAAATCTTAACTTCACATCAAGGTCCAAGAAAACGACAATTTCTCACATATTATTATCACGGCCCACAGAGTGAGTACTTCACCTTAATCACCACCTGACGAGCATCTCACTCTTTTTCACAGTCAGTGAGAGGACTGGCCCTGCATGGAGTCCACCACAGAGGGGTCTGCTGGACCCACTTAGGTTCACTCTAATAGAGTCAGTGAGAGGACTGGCCCTGCATGGAGTCCACCATAGAGGGGTCTGCTGGACCCACTTAGGTTCACTCTAATCGAGTCAGTGAGAGGACTGGCCCTGCATGGAGTCCACCACAGAGGGGTCTGCTGGACCCACTTAGGTTCACTCTAATAGAGTCAGTGAGAGGACTGGCCCTGCATGGAGTCCACCACAGAGGGGTCTGCTGGACCCACTTAGGTTCACTCTAATAGAGTCAGTGAGAGGACTGGCCCTGCATGGAGTCCACCACAGAGGGGTCTGCTGGACCCACTTAGGTTCACTCTAATAGAGTCAGTTGAATGTTCATCACTCAGTCTTGTTCTGTTTTTAGATCTCATTCATGTCAGAAAAAGCTGCTTCACAAAGTAGAGCCAAATAAAGCAGACATGTTCAGTGCTGCTTGGTGAATGTTCTGAGAGTGTTCTGGGTCTACAAGGCTCCAGAATGTTCTGAGAGTGTTCTGGGTCTACAAGGCTCCAGAATGTTCTGAGAGTGTTCTGGGTCTACAAGGCTCCAGAATGTTCTTAGAGTTTTCAGGGTCTACAAGGCTCCAGAATGTTCTTAGAGTTTTCAGGGTCTACAAGGCTCCAGAATGTTCTTAGAGTTTTCAGGGTCTACAAGGCTCCAGAATGTTCTTAGAGTTTTCAGGGTCTACAAGGCTCCAGAATGTTCTTAGAGTGTTCTGGGTCTACAAGGCTCCAGAATGTTCTTAGAGTTTTCTGGGTCTACAAAGCTCCAGAATGTTCTTAGAGTTTTCTGGGTCTACAAGGCTCCAGAATGTTCTTAGAGTCTTCTGGGTCTACAAGGCTCCAGAATGTTCTGAGAGTCTTCTGGGTCTACAAGGCTCCAGAATGTTCTGAGTCTTCTGGGTCTAAAAGGCTCCAGAATGTTCTGAGTTTTCTGGGTCTACAAGGCTCCAGAATGTTCTTAGAGTTTTCAGGGTCTACAAGGCTCCAGAATGTTCTGAGAGTCTTCTGGGTCTTCAAGGCACCAGAATGTTCTGAGTTTTCTGGGTCTACAAGGCTCCAGAATGTTCTTAGAGTTTTCTGGGTCTACAAGGCTCCAGAATGTTCTTAGAGTTTTCTGGGTCTACAAGGCTCCAGAATGTTCTTAGAGTTTTCTGGGTCTACAAGGCTCCAGAATGTTCTGAGAGTTTTCTGGGTCTACAAGGCTCCAGAATGTTCTGAGAGTTTTCTGGGTCTACAAGGCTCCAGAATGTTCTGAGTTTTCTGGGTCTACAAGGCTCCAGAATGTTCTTAGAGTTTTCTGGGTCTACAAGGCTCCAGAATGTTCTTAGAGTTTTCTGGGTCTACAAGGCTCCAGAATGTTCTTAGAGTTTTCTGGGTCTACAAGGCTCCAGAATGTTCTTAGAGTTTTCTGGGTCTACAAGGCTCCAGAATGTTCTTAGAGTTTTCTGGGTCTACAAGGCAGAAATGTTCTGAGTTTTGCTGAGACTTAAGCTGAACATGATTTTGGAGATTTATAACTTCCGTCTCCACAGGATTGACACTGAACAGTTCAGCCATCTTTTTCTTCTTCGTCTTGACATGAAATTATAAACCATAATAAATCCAGTGTATATGTCTAGCCTCCCTATCTGTGTGTGAAATTGTTCCATCCTCAAAAACAGCTGCTTCTGCAGTCTAGCTGCAGCTTCTGGTCTTCTGTTAAAGAGAGGACACTGAAGGTCCTGCATGTGGCATCACACACAGGACTTGAGTCTGAACACAGCAGACAACAGGAGTATTCACAACAGCATATACACACTAAAATACTGCACGTGGGTGCACACTTACATTCTCTGTCTTACTGTTACATAAATCCCATGAATGTATGAGATTAAGTTAGCTTCATTATATCTCAATCAGTGATTAAGTGAATAATAAAGTTTCTATCAGGTCACTATCAGCCTCATTATCTTCAGGGAGGGGGCGGGGTTTGGAGGAACGGAGAGGAGAGGGTGATCGCGGAAGCTTTCCTCCTGCCTTCACAAACTTTACACAAGTATTTATCAACTGAAAATAGCAAGAGGACATTCATACTCTGCAATCCAAGACTTGATTAAATCCACCAAAAACATGACAAGTGTTTTTCAAAAAACACAAATCCCTCCCTGTGTGTCTCTGAGCCGCGGCCACAGGGTCTGATTCAGAGCGGGTCCTTCTGCTGTTGGTTCTGGACTGGTGTTGGTGGAGAAAGCAGACTGCTCCGTGTGTCGCTGTCACGTCTGTTCCTTGATCTCTGCGGCACCGACCAAAACATTCTAAACTAAAAAAACGTTATTGTCCAGCCGTCCAAGAAGCAACCTTACTACGCTATAATCGATAATCGAGCGGCGAGCTACCGGTAGCTCACGGTCGACGTGTTGGAGAGCCCTGCGTTAAACGTTATAAAGTGCATACAAAAATGATGAAGTGCATATGAGTTCAGTAATTAAAGATGATTGCACCTGAGACTGCAGGTTCAACAGCCTGTATCTAACATCCAGTCACCTGTCTCAGTGCTCCTCCTCTGCTCCTCCTCTGCTCCTCCTGCAGCTGTGCAGTCAGACTCCTCTGCTCCTCCTCTGCTCCTCCTGCAGCTGTCCAGTCAGACTCCTCTGCTCCTCCTCTGCTCCTCCTGCAGCTGTGCAGTCAGACTCCTCTGCTCCTCCAGCAGTCTCAGGTTGTCCTTCCTCCTGTCTTGGCGCTCCAGATCCCGGACGACTCCCTCGTGGAGGCGCTGCAGGAGGAGACACACAAACAGAAGCTCTGTGAGACACAGATCTGTCATTTAGAACATCTTGAAGCGGCCGCAATCATAAAACATATAAGACAAAAATAGAATAAATTGTGTTAATAAAGGTCCGGGGAAAAGTCATTTCTGTGCACACAGTGTGTTGGTGTGTGTTGGAGGCAGTGTGTTGGTGTGTGTTGGAGGCAGTGTGTTGGTGTGTTTTGAAGGCAGTGTGTTGGTGTGTGTTGGTGTGTGTTGGAGGCAGTGTGTTGGTGTGTTTTGAAGGCAGTGTGTTGGTGTGTGTTGGTGTGTGTTGGTGTGTTTTGAAGGCAGTGTGTTGGTGTGTGTTGGTGTGTGTTGGAGGCAGTGTGTTGGTGTGTTTTGAAGGCAGTGTGTTGGTGTGTGTTGGTGTGTGTTGGTGTGTGTTGGAGGCAGTGTGTTGGTGTTTGTTGGAGGCAGTGTGTTGGTGTGTGTTGGGACAGGTGCAGGAGGAAAGGCTTCTGCTTTCAGAAACCCTCTGATCGATGAACCATGAGAAAAGAAAATGCACAAATTAGATTCTTGCCTGGACTTTAGTATCTGTCCCGGATCAGATGTCCTAGCGCTTGGTGTTCATTTCAACATGTATATTTTCTACTTTTTTTAATCCTTTTTTTTCTCTATTTGAGATGTTTACATTTTGGATTGTTTGTTGCTAGTCTTTTAATTTCTCTATTGTACAATACCTTTTTATGCTGCAACGCAAACAGTTCCCAAATTGGGATCAATAAAGTACTTCTTATCTTATTAATAATGAGTAGTAGTGTAGCTTCAGTTAGCTGTGTGTGTCTGTGTGTGTCTGTGTGTGTCTGTGTGTGTCTGTGTGTGTGTGTCTGTGTGTGTCTGTGTGCGTCTGTGTGTGTGTGTCTGTGTGCATCTGTGTGTGTCTGTCTGTGTGTGTCTCACAGAGAGACCACAGGTCCTTCAGCAGCAGTAAGACTCTACAACATGTACACAACAACACACACTAACACACAACAACACAGACTGACACACACAACACAATCACACAACAACACAGACTAACACACTACAACAATACAATCACACAACAACACAGACTGACACACACAACAACACAATCACACAACAACACAGACTAACACACTACAACACAGACTAACACACTCACACAACACAGACTAACACACAACACAATCACACTATAACACAGACTAACACACTACAACACAGACTAACACACTATAACACAGACTAACACACACTAATGTAACTGGTTTCCTCTGTGGGACCAATAAGAGGTTATTTACTGGTGTATCTACAGTTAGCTACAGTTAGCTGCACCTAGCTACAGTTAGCTGCAGTTAGCTGTGATGATTTAACACTCCGTTCCATCAATGTGACCTCACGTCTCTGCTAACTGCTAAGCTAACAGCTACGCTAACGGTTAGCTTTGTTGTTAGCCCTGCTCGGCCCGGTTGTTATACTGGTTCGGCCCGGTTTACCTCTCGGTCCCAGGTCTGGTTCAGGTGAACAGCAGCCACGGTGCTCAGAGTCAGACCCACAGAAACTCCCAGAACCACTTTAGAGACTGTAGACATCACGGTAGCTTCACGTTAGCTTAGCTTCACGTTAGCCTGCTGCTATCTGGCTCACTCTTCTTCTTCTTCTCTTGGTTATTGGCGGATTGCAAACAGCTTTAAGGTGCATACCGCCACCTACTGTACAAGAGTGTGTATCATCACCATATCACCCTATCACCACTTGTAGAAGTATACCACGGTGTTTGCGTTATTTTTAAATTCTTCTAATCAATCCTGTTTCACTCAAACACTTAAAAATGGCCTTCCTGATAGCTCTTATTGTTTTTTTCCCTCTCGGTTTTGTAAATGTTGTAATGTAATATGATGTGTTCCACATTTTCTTTCACTCCACATCCCCTGCTGCATCCTTCAAATGCACTTTCTAAAACTGACCCCATTCTGAACATAGTGCCGTTTAATCCTGTATGATCCAGTCTGAGTCTAGTGATGGTGATCTCCTCCCGTCTGTTCCTTTCTGTGTCTTTGTGATGACTGATTTCTGTACCTTGTGCTATCTCCTCCCTTTCTGATCTTCCTCCCACCTTTTCTGACATATTTCCATACCTTCTTCTTAATTATTGCTTTTCCTTCTCCTTTTCCAAGTGAAACTGGTATTGCTATTTATATACTATACTGCACATCTATTCCCCTCCTCTGAAGTCTCAGTCAGCAATGGTTAAGTTCAATAATGAAATCTTCTCTAACAGTTATTGTGGACTGTATGCTTTCCAAAGCAGAGAGTGAGTCTGTGCATATCACCACCCTATCAGGTCTGACTTCTTCAACCTGTAGCCCAATAACTGCTGCGAGTATTTCTGCTGTAAAAACTGATAAGTTATTTAACACTCGTTTTGAGATTGATATTTTTAATTCTGGGATGTATACGCCTATCCCCACGCATTTTTGCTTCTTAGATCTACTCTCCTTCTTCTTCTGCTGTTTCTACCCGTGGTTACACAGAGATTTCTTTTTTTTATTAAACAAAAACATTTATTAATGTATTTATTACGAGGATTCAAGACAATATCCGTACACTGTGTTAATGGATGTAATCAGAATGATGTATTCATAGTTTGGATTGTGAACAATTTCTCCATTTGAATCAGAATCAGGTTTATCTCCAGGTGAGTCGACACGTCGTGGTGCAGACATAAAGTAAAACAAAGATTAAAAACACAGATAGAAAACTATTTGAAGAAAACTATAATAACATTAAAAGATATTGTAAAATATAGTAAGAAAAATAGCAGTATTTACATTGAATATGGTGGTTATCATAGAAAGAGAATTGTTGGATTATAACACACTTACACAACAACACACACACACACACACACACACACACACACACACACACACACACACACACACACACGCACACACACACACAGAGGATTTGAGACCTTGTACATGTTGTGACCCCTTGTTAAAGAAAGGGTTCATTTAATTGGAGGACTATTGGATGTGAATGGAAAGGTGAGAAGATAACTAATAAAGAATAAGAAGCTGTAAGTATTTCTCACAGATGTGTGTGTGAGGAAGTCCGTGGATTGGTCAATTTGGACCAATCAGCGGGGGCTTAACGTAACGGCTCCGCGGATTGGTCCATTTCGTTCCGGGTACGGCTTGACATCATGCCGTACCCGGAATAATCAAATGGACAATGACGTATCTCCAACGAGGCGTTTTGGGGAGGTCTTTTCTGTGTTAGAGTTTTGCATGCATAAAAACCTTCATAACACAAGGGGACGGGTCATAACCGGAAAAGCATGACATGGGACCTTTAAGTACATTTTGTTCCGAGTTCTCCCATCATCCCACTAAAGTCACATTATCAGTCATGTAAAGTAAATGAATCTGGGTGTTTAGTCCACTGAGAGAACTGATCTGAATCTAAAGAGGATGGTAATAAACTGGATATATCAAATATGATTTTACAGTACAAACACAGAGAGGGTCCGAGAAAGAGCGACGTGTCCGAGTCCACAATTAACCCTTTGTACAGTGAACACACACACACACACACACACACACACACACACACACACACACACACACACACACACACACACACACACACACACGGTACCTGCTGTGCGGACTGAGGCTGGAAAAAGGAGTCTTTGTCATTATGGTCCTTGGTCTTGGAATGACCTTCAATCACGCCTCAAACTGAGGGCACTTGTCTCAATAGCATGTTTTAAATTGAAGTTGTCTGAGGTCCTCACCACCAGCTGCTCTTGCAGTAATAAGTAGTACCTTTCTGTCCTCATGTGCACAATGTAGGGAGTGCTTTCCGTTTTTTTGTTTACTTAGTTGTGTTCTCTGTATTTGATATGTCTGTGTTATGTGTAATAATGTGTAACGCTGCTGCCTTCTTGGCCAGGTCAGCTTTGTAAATGAGATTTTATCTCAATGCTTTTATCAGGTTAAATAAAAATAAAACACACACACACACACACACACACACACACACACACACACACACACACACAACAACAACAACACAGACTAACACACTCACACACGATAAAGTAAAAACGTTAAGGTTTGTATACAGTTTGTAGTTTAAAGTGAACTACATCTCCCATGAGGTGAATGGGCTGGACTAAATGTGACGTCACTGCTGACCAATGAGGAACCGCGCTGTCGGCGGGGGGCGGGGCTTCTGCTCCCGTCCAGAGAAAGTGCCACGACTCCGCAGCCCGACTCTCCTGAGGTGAGACCCTTTATTCTACTCATATCAACTCTTTAACTGTCTTTATTTAAAACATAACCTGAGACTAAACTCTGACTGCTCTCTGAAACACATCTAAACTCTGAAACTGACACTAAACTCTGAAACTGAGACTAAACTCTGAAACTGAACACTTTAAGTCTGACGCTGCAAAGTCAGAAAGTTTGGGAAAAACTGGATTTGGATGAAAACTCTGAGAAAAAGGCAAAAAAAAAACCTTGATTTGACCAAAGACACAGTTAGTGTTAAAGAGAAGGGAAATAAGGTTTGAGTGATTTCTGCAGGGTGTAGAGATGTGTCTCAGTGAATATCTTTAAACAGCCTGGAACAGCCTGGAACTACTTAAATAAATATATGAAACATATAACATTAATATATATATAACACAGTGTTAGGGCTGCGGACTGGACGTACACTCAACTGTGTGTGAACAAATACAGAAGTTTATTTCAGGGTTATTAACGGTGTTTTAATGTGAAATTCTGTACCTGAGGTGTTCTGAAGACAGTTACATAACTGTGTGTGTGTGTGCGTGCGTGTGTGTATGTGTGCGCGTGTGTGTGCGTGCGTGTGTGTGTGCGTGTGTGTATGTGTGCATGCGCGTGTGTGCATGCATGTGTGTGTGCGCGCGTGCGTGTGTGTGTGCGTGCGTGTGTGTGTTCACTGTACAAAGGGTTAATTGTGGACTCGGACACGTCGCTCTTTCTCGGACCCTCTGTGTGTTTGTACTGTAAAATCATATTTGATATATCCAGTTTATTACCATCCTCTTTAGATTCAGATCAGTTCTCTCAGTGGACTAAACACCCAGATTCATTTACTTTACATGACTGATAATGTGACTTTAGTGGGATGATGGGAGAACTCGGAACAAAATGTACTTAAAGCGTAAAAAGAGAGACGTCCTGTTAACGGTCCGTGTCAGAGTTTTCTCATCATGGTGGAGAGTATAGTTTCATAAAGTACATGTAGTACTGTGTTTAATCTGAGGTACTTTTTATGCCCTTTATATTTGTATTGTGCTTTTTACTGCATGACTATATCTATATATGAGGCCCTGGAGAAAAACAACTCACTGGAGCTTCATTGATTAATTAATCAAGCAAACCATTCATTGATTGGTCGATTATTGTAACTCAATAGTCACTCAGTGGTGAATACATGTTGGGACGCTTCCCTGCAGTAAATATACAAGTTCTGTATTGAAATGTGACTTTAGTGAGATGTTGGAGAACTCGGAACAAAATGTACTTAAAGAGTAAAAAGAGAGATTTTGCATTGATTGTTAGTTTGACTGTTTTATTATTTATTATTATCAAGAACGTTTTTAAGGACATTTAGCACTTCAGTGTAATTCTGCTTTACTTACTTTATTTATATTTTCTGTTAAATGGAACCTATATACTCCTGATGTTCAGGTGTATATCAGTATGTAGTGTCTCTACTTTAAAGAGTCCTCTCCTGCTGATGTTCAGGTGTATATCAGTGTGTAGTGTCTCTACTTTAAAGAGTCCTCTCCTGCTGATGTTCAGGTGTATATCAGTATGTAGTGTCTCTACTTTAAAGAGTCCTCTCCTGCTGAGTGTTCAGGTGTATATCAGTATGTAGTGGTCTCTACTTTAAAGAGTCCCTCTCCTGCTGATGTTCAGGTGTATATCAGTATGTAGTGTCCTCTACTTTAAAGAGTCCTCTCCTGCTGATGTTCAGGTGTATATCAGTATGTAGTGTCTCTACTTTAAAGAGTCCTCTCCTGCTGATGTTCAGGTGTATATCAGTATGTAGTGTCTCTACTTTAAAGAGTCCTCTCCTGCTGATGTTCAGGTGTATATCAGTATGTAGTGTCTCTACTTTAAAGAGTCCTCTCCTGCTGATGTTCAGGTGTATATCAGTATGTAGTGTCTCTACTTTAAAGAGTCCTCTCCTGCTGATGTTCAGGTGTATATCAGTATGTAGTGTCTCTACTTTAAAGAGTCCTCTCCTGCTGATGTTCAGGTGTATATCAGTATGTAGTGTCTCTACTTTAAAGAGTCCTCTCCTGCTGATGTTCAGGTGTATATCAGTATGTAGTGTCTCTACTTTAAAGAGTCCTCTCCTGCTGATGTTCAGGTGTATATCAGTATGTAGTGTCTCTACTTTAAAGAGTCCTCTCCTGCTGATGTTCAGGTGTATATCAGTAGGTAGTGTCTCTACTTTAAAGAGTCCTCTCCTGCTGATGTTCAGGTGTATATCAGTATGTAGTGTCTCTACTTTAAAGAGTCCTCTCCTGCTGATGTTCAGGTGTATATCAGTATGTAGTGTCTCTACTTTAAAGAGTCCTCTCCTGCTGATGTTCAGGTGTATATCAGTATGTAGTGTCTCTACTTTAAAGAGTCCTCTCCTGCTGATGTTCAGGTGTATATCAGTATGTAGTGTCTCTACTTTAAAGAGTCCTCTCCTGCTGATGTTCAGGTGTATATCAGTATGTAGTGTCTCTACTTTAAAGAGTCCTCTCCTGCTGATGTTCAGGTGTATATCAGTATGTAGTGTCTCTACTTTAAAGAGTCCTCTCCTGCTGATGTTCAGGTGTATATCAGTATGTAGTGTCTCTACTTTAAAGAGTCCTCTCCTGCTGATGTTCAGGTGTATATCAGTATGTAGTGTCTCTACTTTAAAGAGTCCTCTCCTGCTGATGTTCAGGTGTATATCAGTATGTAGTGTCTCTACTTTAAAGAGTCCTCTCCTGCTGATGTTCAGGTGTATATCAGTATGTAGTGTCTCTACTTTAAAGAGTCCTCTCCTGCTGATGTTCAGGTGTATATCAGTATGTAGTGTCTCTACTTTAAAGAGTCCTCTCCTGCTGATGTTCAGGTGTATATCAGTATGTAGTGTCTCTACTTTAAAGAGTCCTCTCCTGCTGATGTTCAGGTGTATATCAGTATGTAGTGTCTCTACTTTAAAGAGTCCTCTCCTGCTGATGTTCAGGTGTATATCAGTATGTAGTGTCTCTACTTTAAAGAGTCCTCTCCTGCTGATGTTCAGGTGTATATCGTAGTAGTGTCTCTACTTTAAAGAGTCTCTCCTGCTGATTTCAGGTGTATATCAGATGTAGTGTCTCTCTTTAAGAGTCCTCTCCTGCTGATGTCAGGTGTATATCAGTATGTAGTGTCTCTACTTTAAAGAGTCCTCTCCTGCTGATGTTCAGGTGTATATCAGTATGTAGTGTCTCTACTTTAAAGAGTCCTCTCCTGCTGATGTTCAGGTGTATATCAGTATGTAGTGTCTCTACTTTAAAGAGTCCTCTTCCTGCTGATGTTCAGGTGTATATCAGTATGTAGTGTCTCTACTTTAAAGAGTCCTCTCCTGCTGGATGTTCAGGTGTATATCAGTATGTAGTGTCTCTACTTTAAAGAGTCCCTCTCCTGCTGATGTTCAGGTGTATATCAGTATGTAGTGTCTCTACTTTAAAGAGTCCTCTCCTGCTGATGTTCAGGTGTATATCAGTATGTAGTGTCTCTACTTTAAAGAGTCCTCTCCTGCTGATGGTCAGGTGTAATATCAGTATGTAGTGTCTCTACTTTAAAGAGTCCTCTCCTGCTGATGTTCAAAGGTATATAATATGTAGGGTCTCTACTTTAAAGAGTCCTCTCCTGCTGATGTTAGGTGTATATCAGTGTAGTGTCTCTACTTTAAAGAGTCCTCTCCTGCTGATGTTCAGGTGTATATCAGTATGTAGTGTCTCTACTTTAAAGAGTCCTCTCCTGCTGATGTTCAGGTGTATATCAGTATGTAGTGTCTCTACTTTAAAGAGTCCTCTCCTGCTGATGTTCAGGTGTATATCAGTATGTAGTGTCTCTACTTTAAAGAGTCCTCTCCTGCTGATGTTCAGGTGTATATCAGTATGTAGTGTCTCTACTTTAAAGAGTCCTCTCCTGCTGATGTTCAGGTGTATATCAGTATGTAGTGTCTCTACTTTAAAGAGTCCTCTCCTGCTGATGTTCAGGTGTATATCAGTATGTAGTGTCTCTACTTTAAAGAGTCCTCTCCTGCTGATGTTCAGGTGTATATCAGTATGTAGTGTCTCTACTTTAAAGAGTCCTCTCCTGCTGATGTTCAGGTGTATATCAGTATGTAGTGTCTCTACTTTAAAGAGTCCTCTCCTGCTGATGTTCAGGTGTATATCAGTATGTAGTGTCTCTACTTTAAAGAGTCCTCTCCTGCTGATGTTCAGGTGTATATCAGTATGTAGTGTCTCTACTTTAAAGAGTCCTCTCCTGCTGATGTTCAGGTGTATATCAGTATGTAGTGTCTCTACTTTAAAGAGTCCTCTCCTGCTGATGTTCAGGTGTATATCAGTATGTAGTGTCTCTACTTTAAAGAGTCCTCTCCTGCTGATGTTCAGGTGTATATCAGTATGTAGTGTCTCTACTTTAAAGAGTCCTCTCCTGCTGATGTTCAGGTGTATATCAGTATGTAGTGTCTCTACTTAAAGAGTCCTCTCCTGCTGATGTTCAGGTGTATATCAGTATGTAGTGTCTCTACTTTAAAGAGTCCTCTCCTGCTGATGTTCAGGTGTATATCAGTATGTAGTGTCTCTACTTTAAAGAGTCCTCTCCTGCTGATGTTCAGGTGTATATCAGTATGTAGTGTCTCTACTTTAAAGAGTCCTCTCCTGCTGATGTTCAGGTGTATATCAGTATGTAGTGTCTCTACTTTAAAGAGTCCTCTCCTGCTGATGTTCAGGTGTATATCAGTATGTAGTGTCTCTACTTTAAAGAGTCCTCTCCTGCTGATGTTCAGGTGTATATCAGTATGTAGTGTCTCTACTTTAAAGAGTCCTCTCCTGCTGATGTTCAGGTGTATATCAGTATGTAGTGTCTCTACTTTAAAGAGTCCTCTCCTGCTGATGTTCAGGTGTATATCAGTATGTAGTGTCTCTACTTTAAAGAGTCCTCTCCTGCTGATGTTCAGGTGTATATCAGTATGTAGTGTCTCTACTTTAAAGAGTCCTCTCCTGCTGATGTTCAGGTGTATATCAGTATGTAGTGTCTCTACTTTAAAGAGTCCTCTCCTGCTGATGTTCAGGTGTATATCAGTATGTAGTGTCTCTACTTTAAAGAGTCCTCTCCTGCTGATGTTCAGGTGTATATCAGTATGTAGTGTCTCTACTTTAAAGAGTCCTCTCCTGCTGATGTTCAGGTGTATATCAGTATGTAGTGTCTCTACTTTAAAGAGTCCTCTCCTGCTGATGTTCAGGTGTATATCAGTATGTAGTGTCTCTACTTTAAAGAGTCCTCTCCTGCTGATGTTCAGGTGTATATCAGTATGTAGTGTCTCTACTTTAAAGAGTCCTCTCCTGCTGATGTTCAGGTTTATATCAGTATGTAGTGTCTCTACTTTAAAGAGTTCCTCTCCTGCTGATGTTCAGGTGTATATCAGTATGTAGTGTCTCTACTTTAAAGAGTCCTCTCCTGCTGATGTTCAGGTGTATTCAGTATGTAGTGTCTCTACTTTAAGAGTCCTCTCTCCTGCTGATGTTCAGGTGTATATCAGTATGTAGTGTCTCTTACTTTAAAGAGTCCTCTCCTGCTGATGTTCAGGTGTAATCAGTATGTAGCTGTCTCTACTTTAAAGAGTCCCTCTCCTGCTGATGTTCAGGTGTATATCAGTATGTAGTGTCTCTACTTTAAAGAGTCCTCTCCTGCTGATGTTCAGGTGTATATCAGTATGTAGTGTCTCTACTTTAAAGAGTCCTCTCCTGCTGATGTTCAGGTGTATATCAGTATGTAGCTCCGTCTACTACTTTAAGAGTCCTCTCCTGCTGATGTTCAGGTGTATAATCAGTATGTAGTGTCTCTACTTTAAAGAGTCCCTCTCCTGCTGATGTTCAGGTGTATATCAGTATGTAGTGTCTCTACTTTAAAGAGTCCTCTCCTGCTGATGTTCAGGTGTATATCAGTATGTAGTGTCTCTACTTTAAAGATCCCTCCTGCTGATCTTCAGGTGTATAATCAGTATGTAGCGTCTCTACTTTAAAGAGTCCTCTCTGCTGATGTTCAGGTGTAAATCAGTATGTGATGTCTCTTACTTTAAAGAGTCCTTCTCCTGCTGATGTTCAGGTGTAAATCAGTATGTAGTGTCTCTACTTTAAAGAGTCCATCTCCTGCTGATGTTCAGGTGTAAATCAGTATTTAGTGTCTCTACTTTAAAGAGTCCTCTCCTGTGATGTTCAGGTGTACTCAGTATGTAGTGTCTCTACTTTAAAGAGTCCTCTCCTGCTGATGTTCAGGTGTAATATCAGTATGTAGGGTCTCTACTTTAAAGAGTCCTCTCCTGCTGATGTTCAGGTGTATATCAGTATGTAGTGTTTTCTACTTTAAAGAGTCCTCTCCTGCTGATGTTCAGGTGTAAATCAGTATGTAGTGTCTCTACTTTAAAGAGTCCTCTCCTGCTGATGTTCAGGTGTATATCAGTATGTAGTGTCTCTACTTTAAAGAGTCCTCTCCTGCTGATGTTCAGGTGTAAACGTCCCCTCTGTTGGACGAATAAAGGTATTTCTTCTTCTACATGCTAAGAACTAACTAATGCTGTTGATGTATTGTGATTTTAAAATGGTGTCTTTTATCATCTGGCCGAGGAAAACATCTGGAAATTAGCAATGTTTGCTAAAGCCGCCCCATTTACAGTTTTTGTGTGACAGTTGATCAATGGGGACTGTCCACGACACTATAAACAAGTAAACTAAACTAAAGTGGACTAAATGTTTGCCGTCCTGCAGACTTCCTGCTCCTCGCTCTGACTCGTCATGGACGTCTCCGACCCGCAGACTCTCGGCTTCATGGTCTTCGGAGGCTTCATGTTCATCTCAGCGGTCGGCATCGCGCTGGTGTCGACGCTCTCCATGAAGGAGACATCGTACGAGGATGCGCTCGCCAAGCAGCGCCGCAAACAACCGCCGCCCACCAGAGCAGAGAAGAAGAAGAAGGATAAGAACCAGGAGAAGAAGAACAAGGCCAAGAGGAAGGAGGAGAAGGAGGAGGAACCGGGGAGCGACACCGGCGAGGAGGTGCTTTTATTTAGGTCTTAATGTGTGCATATGTATAAATGTGTCTGTTGATTGTGTATCATCACAGCTGAGAACATCTCACCAGTTGCACCAGTTGTAACTTGCGGTTACAGGGAGTAAACCTTTGCAATAAGGGAACATTATACATCGAGACCTCACCTTCTCATTCTCCTCTTTCTGATCATCTGATGCTTCTTATACAATGTTCATGAACTTTATACACAGGGATGTTTCGTAACAGGGGCATCATTTAGGTATATACATATTTTTATACATATTTTTATATATATTTCTTTTTGTATTCGGGATTGTGGGAAACGGTATTTCGATCTCTGTCTGTACACAAAAGATTGACAATAAAGTTGACTTTGACTTTGAGGTGGCTCCAACCGAACCAGAATCGGAACCAGAACCTGCCGCTGAGCCTGAACCTGAGCCTGAACCTGAACCTACACCAGAACCAGAACCCATCGTGGTTGCCCCCACCATCGAGGCTCCTCCAGCCGCCGCACCAAAGGAGAAGAAGAAGAAGAAGTCCGCCAAGGTGGAGCCGGTTGTCGTGGCGGTGGAAACTGCCGCTAAGGAAGTTCTGATGATGGCGGTGGCGCCGGTGGTCGACGTATCTCCCGTTAACGTCGTCGCTAAAGTCACCAAAGAACCGCCGGCTGCTGTTAAAGCTGAAGAACCCAAAGAGGCCCCCGCGGGCAACAAGAAGAAGAACAAGAACAAACCGGAGCCAGGTGAGAAGAGTCGGGTTGTAGTGGTCGTTTGTCAAAAGTAGAGAGTTATAATTCCACATATCGTACCACGTCGTACCGATACAATTACACACGATACCATACAGCACGATACCATACTATAAGCTACGATGTGGTACGATGCGGTACGATGCGGTACGATACGGTACAATACAGTACAATACAGTACTTTTATGAAGGCCATGTAGTCACAGATAAGTCTTAAAGGTCCCATGGCCATTTCTACTGATCATAGTTCCATAGTGGAGGTCTACTAGAATAGATTCACATTGTTCAATGTTCCAAACTCTCATTGGTTTCTCATACAGCATCTCTGTATAGTATGTGTATTCACTCTCTGTCCTACACGCCTTGTTGGAGCTCCTGCCCCCCCCCTCCCTGTGAGCCCACTGTGCTCTGATTGGTCAGCTCGCCCACTCTGTTCTGATGAGTCCACCTCCGTTACAGCTGAACATCAGTGATTATGTTTTACAATGGCGTTTGTTAGCAACCAGGAAATGACACCAGTAAGGACAAACATGAGAATGCTGCGTGGGGTCTGGGGGCCGTGTTGGCGGTACGTTGCGGGGCTCGCTGCTGCGGACAGTGTGAGCTGGCTGTGAGTGTGTGTGTGTGTGTGTGTGTGTGTGCTCAGGCTGAGTTCAGGCTGAGTTTTGCGGTGTATCGCTGTCTCAGGCTGAGAAATCCGCGGAGCCGCAGCTGAGAAAAGATAAGGCTGAGTGAGTGTGTGTGTTTGAGGAGCTCCACGGATTGGTCCATTTGGACCTGGGTATGGTCACGTCACTATACTCAGGAAGAAACAAATGGAAAAAGAGAAATGGAAAAAGAGAAATGTCCAACGAGACGTTCTGGGGCAGCAGAGACAGGTATTTTCTGTGTTACAGGGTGTACTTTGAGGGTTTGTGACTCTGCAGACTCTGCAGACTCTGCAGACCGTTTACATGCAGAAGCTACATAACACACAAGGGGACGGGTAATAACCGGAAAAAGCATGACATGGGACCTTTAAGGGTTGAATCCACACGTCTCTTGGCGCTTCATTACCGACCTTTTGAACTGGATATAGTAAAATCAACACAACCACTATAACATTATCAGGTGTGCAGACCATAGACTGTATATATAAAGGTGCGGACGCATGCCGTCGAAAATACGCTTTCATTCCACCTTGCAGACTTCCAATGCCTCAGTAGCGTCACGCAATTGGACATGAGCACTATATAGTAATAAACATTAACCATACATAATAATAGGCCTAAATGGGGTCATAATGGGTTTCTGATGAACGTATATCAGATATCACAATCATATACCTCGGTAAAACCACACGATGAAGTGTAAAAGGTCACCTATTATGCAAAATCCACTTTTTCATGTCCTTTATACATAAACATGTGTCCCCTCTGTGTAAAGAGATTCAGAGAGTTTCAGGAAAAAAACAACCAAGGTAACCCCCCCCCCCCCCACCTTATCACCTGAATCTCCTCCTAGAGCACCATTGAGTTCTTTGTAACCAAATCTCTCTCAGAGGGGCGTGGGGAGGGGCTCCTTATTTTCATCTAAAGTAACAGACAGAGAATCAGCACTTTGGAAACAGGGCTGAAACAGAGGGGATTATGGGTAATGCTGCAATGATCTGTTTGGTGTTTCAGCCAATCAGAGACAGGCTCTGGATATATCTGAGAGCTGTGATATATTGATGAAGAAGAGGATGATAGGGGACCTTTAAATGACGGGTTGTGTTTCGTCCTTGTTTCTCTGTTAGTGACCGACTCCTCGCTGCTGTACGGCGAGCTGCTGTCCGCCGTGTCCAACCGGACGCTCAGCGAGGACCAGACCAGCAAACTGATGGAGGTCCTGAACCAGAAGGCCGGCGACTCCTGGCAGCTGGTACATAAACACAACAGATTCAATGTTAGCCGCTAGAACCATCACTGCAGATGTTAGCAGAAAACAGAGTCCTGCAGCATCTCCTGGACCAATGGGAGCCCTCCATGTGATTTAGGGTTATGTCTGAAAATAATCTCTGTGTCAAACTAATGTTTCTGATTCTTACACGTTTAGTTCAGCAGGATAATCTCCACATATTAATACCACTTCATGATTTCTGAAGTAAAAAGCTAAACCCAGTGGGGTATTTACTGACATATTTGATGTAAAACGTTAACATCTCTTCCGCTTGTGTTAACCACAGACCTTATTTCAGGATAACAACCAAACACACATTAAGAAAACCATTGACCTCCAGACCAGGGGACATGAAGTGAAGAAATGCTGACTCATGTCAGGGTTTAGGAATCATGTCAGGGTTTAGGAATCATGTCAGGACTCATAATACTGAGTCATGTCATGTTTTAGGACTCATAATGCTGACTCATGTCAGGGTTTAGGACTCATAATGCTGACTCATGTCAGGGTTTAGGACTCATAATGCTGACTCGTGTCAGGGTTTAGGACTCATAATGCTGACTCATGTCAGGGTTTAGGACTCATAATGCTGACTCATGTCAGGGTTAGGACTCATAATGCTGACTCATGTCAGGGTTTAGGACTCATAATGCTGACTCGTGTCAGGGTTCAGGACTCATAGTGCTGACTCATGTCAGGGTTTAGGACTCATATGCTGACTCATGTCAGGGTTTAGACTCATAACAGGACTCATGTCAGGGTTTAAGACTCATAACAGGACTCAATGCTGACTAATGTCAGGGTTTTTAGGACTCATAATGCTGACTCATGTCAGGGGTTTTAGGACTCATAATGCTGACTCATGACAGGGTTTAGGACTCATAATGCTGACTCATGTCAGGGTTTAGGACTCATAATGCTGACTCATGTCAGGGTTTAGGACTCATAATGCTGACTCATGTCAGGGTTTAGGACTCATAATGCTGACTCATGTCAGGGTTTAGGACTCATAATGCTGACTCATGTCAGGGTTTAGGACTCATAATGCTGACTCATGTCAGGGTTTAGGACTCATCTCCTCCAGAAAGTTCTTGACAGCTGGTTTTAGTCTTCTAGCATGTTACAGTAACATCTGTTCGTCCCTCAGGCCTGTCAGAAAGGAGACCCTCTGTCCACCCTGAAGAAGCAGCTGGAGGAGAAGGAGAAGCTTCGGACCGCCGAGCAGGAAGTTGCCGCCGCCGCCAAGACCCGCCTAAAAGAGCTCAGCAAGGTGAGTCATGTGATCTCTAAAGAGTTAATAATTCTGTCCTGTTGGTTTCTCAATATCACAACAACGCTACCAAACACAGAACACTAACAAGACACCTTAAAGTATCTTCCTCCTGTAAAGGTGCTCGTTAAAAGGTTGCTCAGATTAACCAAATGAATGTTTTCTGATGAAATGTTATGGTAGTAGAAGTACATGGGTACATGGGTTGGTAAACTTGATGAGTCAGTGTTCTTACGTTTTGATTGGATAACACTTTATTATCAAATCGAGTCTGCATCACAGCAGCTCCATTTTCTTACCTTGTAGTTTCTCCATCAGAACTCACCTCGGTTCTTCTTGGTTTCCTCCCTCAGGAACTTGGTGCAGAGAAATCCAAGATGGGCTCTCTGGATGCGCGTCTGAAGGCGGAGCTGAGCGCTCAGACTCAGAAACTGGACGCCATGCGGGTCAGCATGGAGGCCGGCGAGCAGGAGCACCTGAAACTCACCGAGACGCTGAACCAGAAGGTACGCTCCGACTCTCTGTTCCTGAGGGGCAAGGTCAAGTTTCTCATCAAGGGTTTGATGTCCATGAGGGACAGCTAGGTTAAATCTTAAGTCCTGTTGACGAAACGCCTCAAGTCCTTAAGGGTTGATCAAGTTAAGTCTTCAAGAAGCCAAGCCCAGGAAAAGTCCTTTAGGGAAAGTCTACGTCAATCCAGAACTTCTTGAGGGTATGATTGAATCATATTTCCAGTCCTGGGGTGCAGGTCCAAGTCAAGACTCAAGTCCCGGGTTGTGTTTCTCTGAGCAGAATTCAGTTCTAATTCAGTTGTTCAGAAATCCTTTTCTTGTCCCACACCGGGACCAAATGGCAAGTTTGATCTTGATCCTGTGTCTAATATCAGCTAACGTTCTGTTTACCGTGGACAGATCGGTGTGTTTGTAGCCTGTTGAGCTAACGGTGTGTTTGTAGCCTGTTGAGCTAACGGTGTGTTTGTAGCATGTTGAGCTAACGGTGTGTTTACCGTTGACAGATTGGTGTGTTTATACAACCCAGTCTCACGGCATTTCGTGTTATAGTCACGAAATTAATCTATTGATTCGTGTTCACCAACACGATTTCGCCATTTTTTTCGTGTCACACAGAACGATTTTAAAAGCAATGTAAATAATAACAAATTAGAAGGAAAAAGACATTTAAAAAAATACAGATTTAAGTATTCTGACACAGAACGATTTTAGAAGCAATGTATTTCTATTGGTAGTATGTTTCGTGCCTGCACCAAATAATAACAAATTAGAAGGAAAAAAAGATGACATAAAATACAGATGTCAGTATTCTGAGGCTCTGAGACATTTCTTTTCCTCACTGACGGCAACAAAACTCAGACATTATACAATTAAATAAAAGGGATAGGGGTTAGGCTTAGGGTAAGATATTGAGTAAGAACATGTTTTTATGAACCACACAGCTTCTGGTCTTCCAAGACCCGACCGGACAAAAAGACGTGTTGCAGGCACGAAACATACTACCAATAGAAATACATAGCATTTAAAATCGTTCTGTGTGACACGAAAAAAATGCGAAAATCGTGTTGGTAAACACGAATCAATAGATTAAATTAATTTCGTGACTAATAACACGAAATGCCGTGAGACTGGGTTGGTTTGTAGCCTGTTGAGCTAATGGTGTGTTTGTAGCCTATTGAGCTAACGGTGTGTTTACCGTTGACAGATTGGTGTGTTTGTAGCCTGTTGAGCTAACAGTGTATTGTAGCATGTTGAGCTAACGGTGTGTTTACCGTTGACAGATTGGTGTGTTTGTAGCCTGTTGAGCTAACAGTGTATTGTAGCATGTTGAGCTAACGGTGTGTTTACCTTGACAGGTTGTTGTTCTGCAGGAGCAGCTGGAGAACGGGCCGAACGCTCAGCTGGCTCGGCTGCAGCAGGAGAACTCGATCCTGCGCGACGCTCTGAACCAAGCGAGCAGCCAGGCGGAGAGCCGGCAGAACGCCGAGCTGGCCCGTCTGCGGAGCGACTGCCTGCACCTCAGCCGCGAGCTAACGGAGCGTAGCGACGCTCTGCGCGCCGACGAGGAGCGCCGCCGCGGCCTGGAGGCAAAGATGGCCGCCGCCGAGCAGGAAGCAGCCCAAACCCGGGTCAGAAACACGAGAGGCTGAAACACGAGAGGCTTAAACACGAGAGGCTTAAACACTGCACACCACTCCACTCTCTCAGGGTTCTCCATTATAAGAAACAACCACATGTAGCATCAGAAACCTCACAGATAACTCACTGAACCAAACGTATCAGAGATAAGACAACATTCTTATGTCTTTAAAGAGTAATTCATGTTTCAGGTATTGAGACATTGAGCCTGTTCTTAAAGTGGTGTAGAAGTCGAGCATTGCATTTGCAAAGAATAAGACAAGAATAGTCCAAATCTGATCCCAGAGGTTATCCTGACTCTCTTTATGGATTTACATTAGGAGAAGTTGGGGATGGTCCCAGGCACTCGTTTAGTTTTCCCAGCGATACTAAGAGTTGATGTTAAAACACTGCAGGACACCGATTGGTCGGAGAGAACAAGTAATCCTGACTGAGTCACCATTTTTAAATAACAAACTACCATCAAAAATGTTCGGATGTTTTATGTTCATCAGACCAGATTATTATGACAACCTGCAGATCTATAGCGAGAAGCGACAGACGAGGCTCTGTTTGGATTAAAGGCTTTAGGGTTAGCTTAATGCTAAAAGTGAGTCATTTATATGTGTAGCTGCAGCTAACAGGAAGTGTGTTGTGTGTTTGTGTGTGTAGCTAACAGGAAGTGTGTTGTGTGTTTGTGTGTGTAGCTAACAGGAAGTGTGTTATGTGTTTAGGACACTGAGTGCGCTCTGCAGCAGCGTCTGCAGGAAGTGATGTCAGAGCTGAACGCCGCACAGCAGGAGGCCGCCGCCGTTAGCGGTGAGTACATACTCACGGAGGAAAATATAATGAGTGTTAAAATAACAGCTTTTCATCAAGAGCTCTATCTTTCTTTCTCTATTCTTTGCTTATTATTGAGCTGTTGAGTTTCTGTTATGTTCCCAAAACATGTCAGAAACATCCCAGTCCATATGTACTCTCATTGCTTTGAATCATGGTAACACAAAGAGCATTGGACTTCTAACTGGCTTCAGCCTCTTTCTGTGTTTCCATCCCATCCACTCCAATAACTGCATATCTTGTGTTTCCTGCTGTTCCTCCTCAGAGCTGCAGGGGGCGCTGGCGCTCAGAGACGCCGACCTGCAGGAGCTCCGGGCCCAGCTGGAGAGCCAGGCTGCAGGACAGGTAAACACCTGGTGTTAATGTGTGGTTCAAACACTCAGGTAGTCAGATAGTACCACGTAAGGATATTTCATATAATCCAAAACACTTGAGGAAGTTACACCGTCACCAGAGGGAGGGGTCAGAGAGGTTATTCCTAATGTTTTTAATAGTGCTAATATATTGTTTAAATTCTTGATATGTACAAAATTTGATTTGGAGTCAGCCCATTTTTTTTAAGGATATAACATTTCAGTGTTAACTTCAGTGAGTATCTGGTAGTAACTTCAGTGAGTATCTGGTAGTAACGTCAGTGAGTATCTGGTGTTAACTTCAGTGAGTTTCTGGTAGTAACTTCAGTGAGTATCTGGTAGTAACGTCAGTGAGTATCTGGTAGTAACGTCAGTGAGTATCTGGTGTTAACTTCAGTGAGTATCTGGTAGTAACGTCAGTGAGTATCTGGTAGTAACGTCAGTGAGTATCTGGTAGTAACGTAGTATCTGGTGTTAACTTCAGTGAGTTTCTGGTAGTAACGTCAGTGAGTATCTGGTAGTAACGTCAGTGAGTATCTGGTAGTAACTTCAGTGAGTTTCTGGTAGTAACTTCAGTGAGTATCTGGTAGTAACGTCAGTGAGTATCTGGTAGTAACTTCAGTGAGTATCTGGTAGTAACTTCAGTGAGTATCTGGTAGTAACGTCAGTGAGTATCTGGTAGTAACTTCAGTGAGTATCTGGTAGTAACTTCAGTGAGTTTCTGGTAGTAACTTCAGTGAGTATCTGGTAGTAACTTCAGTGAGTATCTGGTAGTAACTTCAGTGAGTATCTGGTAGTAACGTCAGTGAGTATCTGGTAGTAACGTCAGTGAGTATCTGGTAGTAACGTCAGTGAGTATCTGGTAGTAATGTAGTATCTGGTAGTAACTTCAGTGAGTATCTGGTAGTAACGTCAGTGAGTATCTGGTAGTAACGTCAGTGAGTATCTGGTAGTAACGTCAGTGAGTATCTGGTAGTAACGTCAGTGAGTATCTGGTAGTAACGTCAGTGAGTATCTGGTGTTAACTTCAGTGAGTATCTGGTAGTAACGTCAGCGAGTATCTGGTAGTAACGTCAGCGAGTATCTGGTAGTAACTTCAGTGAGTATCTGGTAGTAACTTCAGCGAGTATCTGGTAGTAACGTCAGCGAGTATCTGGTAGTAACTTCAGTGAGTATCTGGTAGTAACTTCAGCGAGTATCTGGTAGTAACGTCAGCGAGTATCTGGTAGTAACTTCAGTGAATATGTGGTACTAACAGGTTGTGTCCTGCAGGGGGGCGCAGGCGTCTGAGGTGGAGCATCTGAAACACAGGTAACTCTTCTTCTTCATCCTTTAACCATAAATGAAGCCCCGGGCCCGTTCTCATTTCATCAAATTCCCCTCCTCGACTCCTATCCCTCGACTCCCCTCCTCGACTCCCATCCTCGACTCCCCTCCTCGACTCCCCTCCTCGACTCCCCTCCTCGACTCCCCTCCTCGACTCCCCTCCTCGACTCCCCTCCTCGACTCCCCTCCTCGACTCCCCTCCTCGACTCCCCTCCTCGACTCCCATCCTCGACTCCTCTACCTCGACTCCTATCCTCGGAGAGGAGAGAGGAGGGGAAGCAGCAGGCGGTTAGAGAAATGAGAACTCCCTCTCCTCTGAGCGGTCATTTTAAAAGAGACGTCCATTAATGATGACAGGAGCACAGCAGCCCTCTGTCTGATGGACAGATGTGTGCATGACCACTTCTATATTTACTTGAGTCATTCACAGTGCGGTTATAATGATACAATAAAGGCTACAGGAGGTGCACGCACACCACACACACACACACACACACACACACACACACACACACACACACACATACAATACACAACACACACACCACACACACACACATACACATACACATACACTACACACACACACACACACACACACACACACACACACACACACACACAACACATACACATACACCATACACATACACATACACATACACATACACACACACACACACACACACACACACACACATGTATATATTTATATAAATATATACAATTTCAGAATCAAACAGAGCACTCTCATAATAACGTAACACTATCAGAGACTGGATATATCCCCCCCCCCCCTCCCCCCCTCTCTGGTCGCTACAATGAGGGAAATAAATGACGGGCCAAAAGTTTTATTTACAAGTATTAAAAGTAAGCAGAGGACACCAAACCAACTGAGACCTGTCTGTCCGCTGCATCTACGCACACACTGCACCACACACACCTACACCACACACACGCACCTACACACTGTACCACACACACGCACCTACACACTGTACCACACACACGCACCTACAGCTCCTAAAGCATATAATCAGGCTACAGCCGTTGTGTATTTTATTTTGTGAAGCACTAAATGGTTTTAGAAAAATATCGACTTTGTTTGTAGATATCTACTAAACTAAACTTGTAAAGACTTTTAAAGACTTATATTTAACCTGTTAAGCCCCGAGCCTGTTTTTCGGGTTTCAGGCTCGAAAATAACATGCCCAAAACATATGACTACAACTTCAATTCTAAAAGGGTTATATGAATAATTTCTTTTATCAAAGCAAGGTTACATCTGTGAGTTGGATGTAGACGTGTCAGAATCAATATAGATTTTTCTCAGTCAGAGTAAATTCAGATGGAACATAGCAAAAAAAGGTAAATTCTTACCTCCGCCTAAAGAAAAAACATTACTTATAGTGAAAACCACCCTTGAATGATGGGGTGGTGGACTGGGGGCTTTGGGAATCCAGAGTATAGCATATGGTGGGTACCCTGTGTCAAGATTGAGGCAAAACGGGTGAAATTTGACCTTTTTAGAGAGGTTTAGCAAAAAAAAGGTCCAGGCGGAATAAGCTTTGGGCACATTTGGGTACATCTGGTTCCATCAGTGCCATTTGACCTTTTTCAGGTACCAGACTATAAAAATTGTGTATTACATTGAATTATCACCATAGGTATTCATTCCATCCAAAGAAAATAAAAAATAAAAAAAAATAATAATAAATGTAATTTGTGGAAAAAAAAGGACCCGCCGACGGGGTCTTTGGGGCTTAACAGGTGAAATGTTACTTTCAGTCTTCAATAAAGAAGAATAATTCGCGCCCCAACACAAACGTGAACTTCCAGTCGTTGTGGCGGACTGTAGTTTGACTTCCTGTCTGACTTCCTGTCTGACTTCCTGTTAGGCGTACAGCTCAGAGACGAGCAGTCGGTGTTCTGGAGGCGGAGCTTACTGCGCTGAGGGCGGAGCTGCAGCTGATGACATCACAGAGGTGAGAACCAGCACAGGGTGTTTCTCATCGCGAGTACGCTTGCTTGGTAGCACATGTCTGCCGAGCATCTTGCTTCAGAAGCGAGTCAAGAATACTTCCTGACATTTGGAAAACAAAGAGTGGAACAGGCGAGCAAGTGTGCAGGTGTGCGTCATATGAGAGGCCCCCGCCTCTTACATCTTCCGCCACAGATTTGGGGAAATTGGTCCGTGAGCAAAAGCATTGTGGGGATTTTAAAGACCGCTGAGTCTACTCATGTTGCAGCCTCGATATTTCTCCAAAGGGAGTACGCCGGGCTCGGTAGATTTCCAAGTATGCTGGAGATTGGAACAGTACTTCGGCGGCACTCGATGACGTAGCATGCTTGAAATAGTGGCTCTGAAGCAGCTTTACTCGCGATTGAGAAACACCCACAGTCTGTATGAAGTGGATCAGTTTGATGACAGCAGCTCCTGGTGGACGTCAGAGGAACTGCAGTCTAATCCTGTTTCTGTTTGTGTGTTCAGAGAGGAAGCAGCTGGAGAGCAGAGAGAGGTACGCTCCATTTCATCACCTTCACACTTTAGAGAGGTACGCTCCATTTCATCACCTTCACACTTTAGAGTTACGCTCCATTTCATCACCTTCACACTTTAGAGTTACGCTCCATTTCATCACCTTCACACTTTAGAGAGTGACGCTCCATTTCATCACCTTCACACTTTAGAGAGTTACGCTCCATTTCATCACCTTCACACTTTAGAGTGACGCTCCATTTCATCACCTTCACACTTTAGAGAGTGACGCTCCATTTCATCACCTTCACACTATAGAGTTACGCTCCATTTCATCACCTTCACACTTTAGAGAGTTACGCTCCATTTCATCACCTTCACACTTTAGAGAGTTACGCTCCATTTCATCACCTTCACACTTTAGAGAGTTACGCTCCATTTCATCACCTTCACACTTTAGAGAGTTACGCTCCATTTCATCACCTTCACACTTTAGAGAGTTACGCTCCATTTCATCACCTTCACACTTTAGAGAGTGACGCTCCATTTCATCACCTTCACACTTTAGAGAGTGACGCTCCATTTCATCACCTTCACACTTTAGAGAGTGACGCTCCATTTCAACACCTTCACACTTTAGAGGTACGCTCCATTTCATCACCTTCACACTTTAGAGTGACGCTCCATTTCATCACCTTCACACTTTAGAGTGACGCTCCATTTCAACACCTTCACACTTTAGAGTGACGCTCCATTTCATCACCTTCACACTTTAGAGTGACGCTCCATTTCATCACCTTCACACTTTAGAGAGTTACGCTCCATTTCATCACCTTCACACTTTAGAGTTACGCTCCATTTCATCACCTTCACACTTTAGAGAGTTACGCTCCATTTCATCACCTTCACACTTTAGAGTTACGCTCCATTTCATCACCTTCACACTTTAGAGTGACGCTCCATTTCATCACCTTCACACTTTAGAGTTACGCTCCATTTCATCACCTTCACACTTTAGAGTGACGCTCCATTTCATCACCTTCACACTTTAGAGTGACGCTCCATTTCATCACCTTCACACTTTAGAGAGTGACGCTCCATTTCATCACCTTCACACTTTAGAGTGACGCTCCATTTCATCACCTTCACACTTTAGAGTACGCTCCATTTCATCACCTTCACACTTTAGAGTGACGCTCCATTTCATCACCTTCACACTTTAGAGTTACGCTCCATTTCATCACCTTCACACTTTAGAGTGACGCTCCATTTCATCACCTTCACACTTCAGAGTGACGCTCCATTTCATCACCTTCACACTTCAGAGTGACGCTCCATTTCATCACCTTCACACTTTAGAGTTACGCTCCATTTCATCACCTTCACACTTTAGAGTGACGCTCCATTTCATCACCTTCACACTTTAGAGAGTTACGCTCCATTTCATCACCTTCACACTTTAGAGAGTTACGCTCCATTTCATCACCTTCACACTTTAGAGTACGCTCCATTTCATCACCTTCACACTTTAGAGAGTTACGCTCCATTTCATCACCTTCACACTTTAGAGTTACGCTCCATTTCATCACCTTCACACTTTAGAGAGTTACGCTCCATTTCATCACCTTCACACTTTAGAGTTACGCTCCATTTCATCACCTTCACACTTTAGAGTTACGCTCCATTTCATCACCTTCACACTTTAGAGAGTGACGCTCCATTTCATCACCTTCACACTTTAGAGTTACGCTCCATTTCATCACCTTCACACTTTAGAGAGTGACGCTCCATTTCATCACCTTCACACTTTAGAGTTACGCTCCATTTCATCACCTTCACACTTTAGAGTGACGCTCCATTTCATCACCTTCACACTTTAGAGTTACGCTCCATTTCATCACCTTCACACTTTAGAGGTACGCTCCATTTCATCACCTTCACACTTTAGAGTGACGCTCCATTTCATCACCTTCACACTTTAGAGTTACGCTCCATTTCATCACCTTCACACTTTAGAGTTACGCTCCATTTCATCACCTTCACACTTTAGAGAGTTACGCTCCATTTCATCACCTTCACACTTTAGAGAGTTACGCTCCATTTCATCACCTTCACACTTTAGAGAGTACGCTCCATTTCATCACCTTCACACTTTAGAGAGTTACGCTCCATTTCATCACCTTCACACTTTAGAGAGTTACGCTCCATTTCATCACCTTCACACTTTAGAGAGTGACGCTCCATTTCATCACCTTCACACTTTAGAGAGTGACGCTCCATTTCATCACCTTCACACTTTAGAGAGTGACGCTCCATTTCATCACCTTCACACTTTAGAGGTACGCTCCATTTCATCACCTTCACACTTTAGAGTGACGCTCCATTTCATCACCTTCACACTTTAGAGTGACGCTCCATTTCACACCTTCACACTTTAGAGTGACGCTCCATTTCATCACCTTCACACTTTAGAGTGACGCTCCATTTCATCACCTTCACACTTTAGAGCTACGCTCCATTTCATCACCTTCACACTTTAGAGTGACGCTCCATTTCATCACCTTCACACTTTAGAGTGACGCTCCATTTCATCACCTTCACACTTTAGAGTTACGCTCCATTTCATCACCTTCACACTTTAGAGAGGTACGCTCCATTTCATCACCTTCACACTTTAGAGTTACGCTCCATTTCATCACCTTCACACTTTAGAGTGACGCTCCATTTCATCACCTTCACACTTTAGAGTGACGCTCCATTTCATCACCTTCACACTTTAGAGAGTGACGCTCCATTTCATCACCTTCACACTTTAGAGTTACGCTCCATTTCATCACCTTCACACTTTAGAGTGACGCTCCATTTCATCACCTTCACACTTTAGAGAGTGACGCTCCATTTCATCACCTTCACACTTTAGAGTGACGCTCCATTTCATCACCTTCACACTTTAGAGGACGCTCCATTTCATCACCTTCACACTTTAGAGAGTTACGCTCCATTTCATCACCTTCACACTTCAGAGTGACGCTCCATTTCATCACCTTCACACTTTAGAGTTACGCTCCATTTCATCACCTTCACACTTTAGAGTGACCTCCATTTCATCACCTTCACACTTTAGAGTTACGCTCCATTTCATCACCTTCACACTTTAGAGTACGCTCCATTTCATCACCTTCACACTTTAGAGTACGCTCCATTTCATCACCTTCACACTTTAGAGTTACGCTCCATTTCATCACCTTCACACTTTAGAGTTACGCTCCATTTCATCACCTTCACACTTTAGAGAGTTACGCTCCATTTCATCACCTTCACACTTTAGAGTGACGCTCCATTTCATCACCTTCACACTTTAGAGAGTTACGCTCCATTTCATCACCTTCACACTTTAGAGAGTGACGCTCCATTTCATCACCTTCACACTTTAGAGTTACGCTCCATTTCATCACCTTCACACTTTAGAGTGACGCTCCATTTCATCACCTTCACACTTTAGAGTTACGCTCCATTTCATCACCTTCACACTTTAGAGTGACGCTCCATTTCATCACCTTCACACTTTAGAGTTACGCTCCATTTCATCACCTTCACACTTTAGAGGTACGCTCCATTTCATCACCTTCACACTTTAGAGTGACGCTCCATTTCATCACCTTCACACTTTAGAGTACGCTCCATTTCATCACCTTCACACTTTAGAGTTACGCTCCATTTCATCACCTTCACACTTTAGAGTTACGCTCCATTTCATCACCTTCACACTTTAGAGAGTGACGCTCCATTTCATCACCTTCACACTTTATAGAGTTACGCTCCATTTCATCACCTTCACACTTTAGAGAGTTACGCTCCATTTCATCACCTTCACACTTTAGAGAGTTACGCTCCATTTCATCACCTTCACACTTTAGAGAGTTACGCTCCATTCATCACCTTCACACTTTAGAGAGTTACGCTCCATTTCATCACCTTCACACTTTAGAGTTACGCTCCATTTCATCACCTTCACACTTTAGAGAGACGCTCCATTTCATCAACCTTCACACTTTAGAGAGTACGCTCCATTTCATCACCTTCACACTTTAGAGAGTGACGCTCCATTTCAATCACCTTCACACTTTAGAGGTACGCTCCATTTCATCACCTTCACACTTTAGAGTGACGCTCCATTTCATCACCTTCACACTTTAGAGTGACGCTCCATTTCATCACCTTCACACTTTAGAGTGACGCTCCATTTCATCACCTTCACACTTTAGAGTGACGCTCCATTTCATCACCTTCACACTTTAGAGTGACGCTCCATTTCATCACCTTCACACTTTAGAGTGACGCTCCATTTCATCACCTTCACACTTTAGAGTGACGCTCCATTTCATCACCTTCACACTTTAGAGTGACGCTCCATTTCATCACCTTCACACTTAGAGTACGCTCCATTTCATCACCTTCACACTTTAGAGTTACGCTCCATTTCATCACCTTCACACTTTAGAGTGACGCTCCATTTCATCACCTTCACACTTTAGAGTACGCTCCATTTCATCACCTTCACACTTTAGAGAGTGACGCTCCATTTCATCACCTTCACACTTTAGAGTTACGCTCCATTTCATCACCTTCACACTTTAGAGTGACGCTCCATTTCATCACCTTCACACTTTAGAGTGACGCTCCATTTCATCACCTTCACACTTTAGAGAGTTACGCTCCATTTCATCACCTTCACACTTTAGAGTGACGCTCCATTTCATCACCTTCACACTTAGAGTACGCTCCATTTCATCACCTTCACATTAGAGTGACGCTCCATTTCATCACCTTCACACTTTAGAGTACGCTCCATTTCATCACCTTCACACTTTAGAGTGACCTCCATTTCATCACCTTCACACTTTAGAGTTACGCTCCATTTCATCACCTTCACACTTTAGAGTGACGCTCCATTTCATCACCTTCACACTTTAGAGTGACGCTCCATTTCATCACCTTCACACTTTAGAGTTACGCTCCATTTCATCACCTTCACACTTTAGAGGTACGCTCCATTTCATCACCTTCACACTTTAGAGAGTTACGCTCCATTTCATCACCTTCACACTTTAGAGTGACGCTCCATTTCATCACCTTCACACTTTAGAGAGTTACGCTCCATTTCATCACCTTCACACTTTAGAGTGACGCTCCATTTCATCACCTTCACACTTTAGAGTTACGCTCCATTTCATCACCTTCACACTTTAGAGACGCTCCATTTCATCACCTTCACACTTTAGAGTTACGCTCCATTTCATCACCTTCACACTTTAGAGTGACGCTCCATTTCATCACCTTCACACTTTAGAGTTACGCTCCATTTCATCACCTTCACACTTTAGAGTTACGCTCCATTTCATCACCTTCACACTTTAGAGAGTGACGCTCCATTTCATCACCTTCACACTTTAGAGTTACGCTCCATTTCATCACCTTCACACTTTAGAGTGACGCTCCATTTCATCACCTTCACACTTTAGAGTTACGCTCCATTTCAT